TCCTTTGAGAAGCACCCTCACCATCAACACCACCTGCAGGGATCAAGGACTTGGCACAGCCCATGATGAGATAGGTGACCTCAGATGCAAACTGGGATCTTGCTGGTACACGTAACCCAGCATCAAGTCACTGAGCTATTTGGACGGTAACTTTTCTGAATGTTATAATGCTAAATGTTACAAACCAGAATTAGGCCATTTCACAGGACATTCATTGGAGTAATGCAACTCATATTTAGACACGGCTTTTGTGGAAAAATACACTTCAAACTATTTTTCAAAGTATAATCGATAAGAAATGTTATCATAATGCCAAAATAAACAACATTCTTGAAAGAAATTAAGATGCTGTAGGATGTTTTGATGTGGTCACATGTAAGAAAGAGTTAAGCTCATTCAGTTCAAGGGATAAAGATCTTCTTATGTAGCCAGAATATAAAAATCTGGTCACACATTCCATATTGTCTGCTGAAAACAGCACTCAGTTGCTTTGCAAATCAGCAGGTAGCTGGTTTATTTTTAAGGGTTGCACAGACATTCCTATATGATTACAGTGTCAGATCTATTTCCCATGAATTCTTGAACTAAGTAGAGTGCAAGAGCCTGACGTGTTCACAATTCTATTACCATGACTCGCACTCAAAGTGTGTCGAGTAAATCACTGAAGATTTATGGGGGAAAAGATCAAATATCCAGTTAATAGGAAGTTACGTGGAGTGTTTCGCATTAGTAGTGTAAAGGGAATTGAAGAGACCTCTTGGTTCTGTTGATATTTTCACACAAAGCCAGTAACTCTTAAGCCCCTCACCTATTACAAGCTTGGATCTGGCTCATTCTGCAATCTTTTAAAGGTCTCCTAAGTAATAGCATTGTGGACAACAGAAATCACGTTACTTTGAAAGGTAATTATTATACATTTCTGATCCAGCAGACTCCTGAGTTTTAGTTGTTCTTTGTATTATATAATTCCACTTACAATTATAATAATAATTTTTACATTTGATATTGAACTTTCACATCAGGAGGATGTCCCAGAGCACAAGATATAATGTAAGGTGGTGTGACTGTGTGATTTGTGGGCGAATGCGGCAACCAATTATACATAGAATGCACCACAAGCAGCTATGAAATAAATGACCAATTTTATTTGGTAGGTTGGTGGACAGAATCAAGAGAAACTTGCTTCTCTTTTCGAATAGTGCCATGGGATCTTTAAATTCAGACAATATCGATTAACGGTACCTCCAGCAATGCAGCACACCCCCAGTTTAGACTATATAACTTGCAAGTCCTGACATAGGACTTGAACCCGCAACCTTCCTAATTTAAAGTGTAGCACTACCAACTGAACCAGCCCTATAGTGGAAATGAGTATTTGCTTTGCTTTCCACCTTATAGGTATGTACGCTATCCTTTAAATATTTTTAATCAGTTTCCTTTCTTCACATTCTGCGTGAAAGCAGTTTAACTTCACACTCATTCCTTGCAGTTCTTTTAGTCTCTCAATGGCAAATCTCCAAACTATCCACATTGTGAAATGTCGCCAAGTGACTAACGATATGAAAATAGCGCTACCCACATTGAGCAATAGCCACACGTTAAAGAGGAAATGGCATATTTATATGAGAAGTGTCAACTTATAACCATGGCTCATTCTTATCAATAATATTTCTCTTTACTAAAAATCATAAAGCATTTTGTTGGCCAGTACAGAGGTAACTTCTTTTCTTTCTGACCCAATGCCCTGAGACATCTTTCCGATGTGAAGCGTAATTTGTTGTTGTTGTTGTAGTAAACTTATTCTGTGTATATTGGTGTATATTTTATTGCTAGACTAAACACCACAAAATCTCATTAGTGACCCAGATTGACTGGTAAACCATCAGCAATGTTCTTTGATTACTAGAGACTTGTCGTTTTTCCAGGTACATCTCCGTAGTGCAAGCTTAACATCAGAGAGGCGAAGTCTGGACGGATGCTCCAGTGCAGTGTTGGATGAGTGCTGCATCATCAGAGATGCCATCTTTCAGGTTAGATATTAAACTGAAATCACATCTGCCTATTCAAGTGGTCATTAAAGATCCCAAAGTACTATACAAAACAGTAGTGGGTAGGCAGTGTCACAGCTGAGCCTGATCCTACCCTCAATTAATACTAATAATAATCCTTACATTTGGTATAGCACCTTTCATATCAGCAGGATTTCCTGAGAAGTGGAGGGATTGTGCATTTGTAGGTGAACCCCAATTCCCAATTGTAGGTGATAACCCAAATCCACACAGCAATGTCCCACAAAAAGCTATGAAACAAATGATCAATTTTATTTGGGGGACTGTTAGCCAGAAACTTTCTTCTCTTTTGAGTTGCACCATGGGATTTTTAACGTCCACTGAAGATTATACTGGACTTTGTTAAAATATCTCATCTGAAGATTGGCATCTCCAACAAGGCAGCACAGTGTATTGGAATGTAAACTTAGACTTTGCAAGTTCAAGTCCTGATATGGAGCTTCTAATTCAAGGACGAGAGTGCTACTAATTGAGCCAGGCTGATACACACTGAGCTACCAACTGAGCCAGGACATCAGGAGACACTTCTTTCTCATTTTGAGTGGACTCATGTGATCTTTTAACGTTCACCTGAGAACAGGCAGACAGGACCTTGGTTTAACATCTCACCAGAAGCACAACCCAGGTACTCACTGAAAAGATGCTATCAGCCACAGGGGAGCTGAAAATCAATTGCTTTACACTAGCATGATCATAGGCGTTTCTAATGAAAGATATCAGAGGTTACTGGGTTGACGTTGAGTGTCTCTCACGTTTTGAAATGTTATAACATTCCTTTTTCAGTCAGCGACTGACAAGAATCTAGTCCTCGTACCTTCCCCTGGGACACTAGTTTACAATTGACTGCATTTGGGATAGTGGGGGCTGAGTGGGAGAAATGTTTTGCTTGCTGTGTAAAGACTCCAGACAGTCTACACCTAAGTGAAAGTTGCACTCATTCATAACTGGAGAGTTAATCTCAAATCATTCCCGCTCCAGTTGCTGGGGTTTGGAAGGAAGCCAGATGATACATTTACTGCAGCTGAGCAGACTGAGCTCCAACTGTAGTAAGTGAAAAGACCACAGTGTAAGTGTGCAGTAATAATAAATGAAATAAAACATACAACTAAAATTTAAAAGGAGCACTGGAGCATAGAGAGTGCTGCCTGAGCGACGTGTTGAAGAGCCACTGTTGTTTGCTACAATATGGAGGAGTTATGACCAGTTCTGCACACACAGGACGTGTGTGCAAATGATGTCATTGCAATTGCATTGTCAGTGGCACCAATTCAGTCTGCCCACTGTCACTTTATAACCTTGAAGATTTATGTGAAAATAGCCCATTGTAAAAGAAGCTCACTTTGTAAGGGGGTCTGATTTCTGATATTCTTTAATATGATTTTTTAATCAAGAAATTAATTAAGAAATCCAATTGAATGTATGTACATCATTCACATCACCCCAACCTACAGAGACCCCACACATCACACAAACATGAGGAGCCCCCACACATCACCCCAACCTGAGAAGACAAACAACAACTTGCACTTATATAGTGCCCTTCAATCGGGGCAGTGTCTCGGAGCGCTTAACAGTGGCGTAGCCCGTCGGAGACCCCACACATCAAAATAACCTGAAAATAGATCCAATTGGAGTGATATTCCCGTTTGATACCATTGACAATTCACTGCCAGATTCCTTAACTAGGAAATCCTGAAAATGACATCCCGAAGTAGTCTGTAAAGGATGCAGCATGAATTCACCTCAATACTGCTCATAGTGGATTGAAACAGTTCACAAACGTTTTAGGATCCAGACATGTTCAGAAACTCCCCAGTGCAGCAGCAAATCCCCTGGGGAGGGAGCTGGAGATTTTAACACTCTCACTCCCGCCCCCCCCACACACACACTCAAGGACCAAGAATAATATTTAGGCCTGAATTGAACATCTCCTCTCCCATCAATCACTATTTGAAGTAGATAAATGTTCAATGATCATTATGATTGGGACTTTCACACATATGATCAGATTTGTATTGGAATTTTCCATCAGGCATTTTTTTTAGCTGCATGGCAATCCCTGGTGCATAATATGAGACGATTGACTTCAATATGAAAGAGCCAACAGCTGTATCTTGGTGACCCTTTTATCTGGCATTTGTTAATGCTGAAACATTCACAATCCCACACAATGTTATCAGTGAAGGCTGCAGGTGCCTCCAAGATCCTTGTCATTCCGGCTAAATGCGTAATCAGCAAGTTTTGCAATTGACACCCTTCATTGCTATTAGATTTTCCTTTTCGGAAATCGTTTACAGACCCACATTTTTTTCCGCCAGCTCTCTCTTCACGACTGTGACCTCGTAGATCCTGTCATGGTCACCTCTGTGCACACTGACACTGGTAGATTAATCTATCAAATTCCTGAAATGGGTGCAGAAGCTGTCACAGAACCTGTCTGGTTCCTCAAGGAATACAGTGCAGTTCATCCAGTGGGTGGTAAAGCAAGAGCAGAGTTTAGACTGGGTAGCACATGATTGTAATTTGCTTTTCAATTAACGTTTCAACAAACAGATCATTTATCAAACGCTTATTGCATTTTTCGCCTTGAAAACAAGACTGACATCACTGTAGTTTAATTTGCCTTAATAGTTGTTCATTTAAGTACAAATTTGAATAACATTGAATTTTTTTTGTCTGCAACTAAGGCGTTCTGTAACGTACATTAACACTTTTTTTTCTTCACCTTTTTGGCTAAATGATCTGACATCTGCTGTTTGACAAAAGTACCAGTGTCGCAAAGGAACCTGCACAATCTGTGCACAGAATTAAAATATCCAGCGCAGCATTCACTGAAGGCAATTTAAACAATGGGGGGATATCCCCAACAAAGTGGGGACCAAAATCGACATCCTTTAGATAAAGAAACTAATGAAAATTAAGAGTACTTACTCCATTTGTGAGGATTTGCTCCTCAGATGCGTGTTCATTATGGTGGCTGCCAGAGCTAATTTGCTGTTGCCTTGACAAAGCCTTTTCAAATCGCAGCTTTGCTTTTCTCTTCCTCTACACTGTCGGCTCTGGATTTGCACCCAGCATCACTCAGCAAAGCTCGGGAGAAGAAGCAACTGAATAATGTGTTTTTACTGCCACAGATGACAACATGATGGACAAGCGTGTATATATATATATACATACACAAATCTATATATATGTATCAATGCACCTAAATAAAATGTTACTGCCAGCAGCCAAGGGCATAGAGCGACATCACCGAGAGTCCAATTGTCACAGCTTTCTCCCCTGTGCTGTGTCACACTCCCTCCCTTCCTTCCTCTGATAGCAAATTCTCTCCCTGACTCAAAGATTCACTCCCTCCCTCTCTGTGAGCAACACATCTATTCCACCACCTCACCCTGCTAGGTGCTGCATTTGTGAAATTCATGCAATTGCTGATTTGTTCCCTTGAAAGGATGCAAAGCCCACTCCTCTCCTCGATCAATAGGTGTGAATACATTAAAATGTGCTCAGTGTGTAACTCACTTAAATAGAAAGTACATTGATAGGATTCTTAATGCTTGCACAATTATTGGCTTGTTTACAATGAATAGCAATTCATTTACTTCATGAACTATGCCTGTCTGGTACAGACGACCAAAATCACTGCTTAATATCAAAGAAATGAACAGAAAGTTTTGGCAAAGAGGGAGGGAAAGAGAGGGAGTGAACAAGAGAAGGAAGAGATTTGATGGAGAATGGGCAAGAGGAAAGGAGAGCATTGGAGAGGGAGGGAGGGCATTGGAGAGAGAGTAGGAGAGATGGAAATGGAACAGGCGGAGAGAAAGGGAAGGGAGAGAAGTAAGAGTAGAAGGCAGTGAATGGAGGAAAGTGGGGAGGGTATGGAGGTAAAGGTTTGGTTTGAGAATAGATTATGGCTTCAGTGCTACTAGTGTTTCAAAATTACAATCCAGGACTTGAAGGGGTTCCACAAAGCAAGGACCCCAAGAAAAGATTTATTTGTGTCTCCTGTCAACAAATTGTGCTTCCTGTTAAAAAAAACTCATCTGGTTGCTTGAATGTCTCAATTTGTATACATATATGAAGATCAGAATGTTTTCACTCAAGGTTTCATCCTTCTATCATTGTGTCTATTTTATCCTCTTCTCTTTGTCCACATAGTCTGATGCTCAGAAGAACAGTACATGGCTGGCCCACAAGTGCAGTCAATGTCCATTCAGTCAGCTGCCAGGAAACGGAAGGGACCACCGAGGAATTTTCCATCTTGCCCATTCCTTCCCCACCCCTCAAACACATTGTCCACTCAGCGCTTTCCTACTTAATTCAAGAAATAAGAGAGCAGGTTGATTAGTCTCCTCTCCATACTACTGAGCTTTAATACCCTAAGGATCAAGGGGTGAAATTCCACCTGGGTCCAGACATGTTCTATTTATTTAGTATTTCAGACCTTCTGGAATTTGGCAAATTGTCAGTTCTCTGAAATGCTACATAAATAGAGAAAACCGAGGCCCAGTTGGAATTTATACCATCTAAGAGATGAAGAAGACTTTTCAGCCTATTTGATCTCATCCTTCCGGTCAACCCACCCTTTACTCCGTCCTGTCCTCCGCTCCCTCTCTGGTATCATGTTCCAGCCATTCTTCACCCTCAGGCTAAAGAACTACATTGTGCTGTCTGTGCTTCTGGGTAAATAGAGGGGAGATCTCTGCCAAGAGAGGGAGGTTTATCTGATAGGAGAGGAGTGTCTCTCATGGTGGGAGAGGAGCTTTTCTGATGGGGATCAGAGTGTCTCTGATGGGAGGAGCTGTACTTAAGGGAAAAAGCATCCCTGGGGGCAGGAAAGGGTCTCTTTGGGGGGCGGAGAGTATTTGGAATGGTGGTGGAGTGGGGTGGGGGGGTGGAGAAATGAAAATGAATGGTTTCTGAGCAACAGCAGCCTGACATTTCTATTACCCACACCAGTGAGTCTCTGAGTCAGCCTGTCAATTAATACTCATTACAGACAGTTTTGTGCTATGCACATCTCAACCAGAGACCAAAGCTTCCAGTAACCAAAACTGACAGTAATAGCAAAGTATCTGGCAGAGAAGATCCACAAAAAATTTGGCATTTAATCAATATTTTATATTGCCTTGCAATACCTGCGGCACATTTCTGATGAAGAATACAGAATAAAATGCAAAGCCGAAATCACATGTCCTCATAGATTTAAATGGCAGTATTTCTATGTTTGATTTTTTTCTATCATTCCCCGTGTTTCTTCCCTAGTGTTTTGCTCTCAAGCAAGACTGCTGATTGTGGAAGTAAAAGGTACTGCGGGAGGATGTGATATGAAAACCAAGTGTTAGAGGGTTAATCAGCTCAGATCTCTCCTCTATTACAGCCAAGGACATCAGTCCACTCAGGACATTAAAAGGCAGTAGGTGGTGGAAGGCCTTCAAAAAAGACAAAACTGACAATTTTAAGGCCAGTTAGTCATTAAGCCTGGGGGAGTTGGTAACACTTTCACCTCTGAGTCAGAAGATTGTGGGCTTAAGCCCGACATCAGGATTTTAAACACACAGCCTGCATTAACATTCCAAAGCAGTGCTGGGTGTGCTGTATTTTGGAGATGTCTTTCAGATGAGATTTTGAACCAAGGCTCCATCTGCCTATTTAGATGGGTGCTAAACAACAAAAGCAACCAAAATATCCAATAACACAATCCACATAGGAACCCCGTTGTCAATCGATTGGTTGATTGCTTTTCTGGGCATAATAATCCCTTTAAAAAAATATTTTTGTATTAATTATATTAATTTGGTCATTCAATCCACGACTGTGTGGGAAACTGCTGTGTGCAACTAGCTGCTGCATTTCTCCAACAAAATATATAGTCAATTCACTTTACAGTATATTCTGTGAAGTACTTTGAGACGTCTCGAAGGCATGATAAGGTGCTATATCAAATGCAAGGATTATTATTATATCAAATATAACGATGATGATTAATATTACAAAGCTAAAATTCACTTGATGTTGATATTGCAAATACTTGTAAGCAGCTAGAGTTTGTGAATCAGTTTGACTCGAGTATAAAAGTAGGAAGGGAATGTTAAGTCTTCCTAAAACCTTGGATAGACGAAATCGGAGTACTGTGTGCAGTTCTGGTTGTCATATTACAGGAAAGATATAGTAGTTTTGGAGAGGATACAGCATTGATTTACAAGAATGTTACCTGAGATGGGTGGATATAATGAGCAAAAAAGATTGGACAGGTTGGAGTTTTTTTCTCTAGATTTGAGAAAGGACCTGAATAGAGATGTTTGCAATTAAAAAAACAACAAGATTCCATTAACATTAACTATTATGAAAGCATTTGAAAAGGTGGACATTAATTAGACTGTTTCTACTTCTTAACAAGTCCGAAAGGAGGGGCCAATAATACAAGCTAGCTAGTGGAAAAGAATAAGTATTGGAGAAACCTCTTCACATAGAGGATGGTGAGAATGCAGATCTCACTGTCAGATACTGGTTGAAACAAAAAGCATCAAGAGGAAACTTAATGCACATATGAGAAAGACATATGTGCATTAAGTTTGAGACAGGCCTTGAAAGAGGCAAGTGAGGAGGTGAGGTGAAGGGAATGTGGGATGGAGCTGAATGGGTTGGTGCTGAAAGGTTAAAAGCCAGCCGCCAATGTTGGGGCGTGCTGGGCGGGGGACATTGAGTAGGCTGGAACCCACTGAGCAGAGGGAGCAGACAGATCTATATGGAGTTTGCAGATCACAGGGTAGGAAGGAGCAAGGCCATGGAGGGCTTTGAAGGCAAGGACGAGGAAGTTAAACTTTATCTTCTAAAAGATGGAGAGCCAATGGAGCCGTGCGAGAGTTGGGGTGATGGGGTTACAGAGCTTGGTACTGGAGAGGAGACGAGCTGCAGAGTTCTGGACGATCTGAAGCTTGTGGAGAGAAGAATTGGGGAGTTTGTCAAGCAGGGAGTTTGCAGGTTGAACCTAGGATGTGACAAATGCATTAATGAGGGTCTCGGCAGCCTGGGGGGAGAGGCAATAGGGGAGACGGGCAATATTGCAGAAGTGTGGGACGGCAGAACAGGTCCTGATATGGATGGGGTGATAGGGTCACTGCAGTTTTTATCTATAATATGAACTATCACACGGGGTATTATGTGATTAATATAGAATTCCAGAATGTCCAGAATTTGGCAATTTTTAAAATTTAGCTTTAACTTTGAAGTCCGTTTCCTGAAATTCAAATAAATTTACTGAAACCGCCTTCAAAATTAAAGACTGTACTTAATAATATGTGAAATTCTGGATGCACCTGTATTTCACAGATGAAATCTGTATTCAGATATCATATGGTTGAAACTCTTATCTGACTTTGCTCAGTGGTGAGATCCAGATTCCCACCCAGTGTTATGGAACAATTCTTAAATTCAGATCTAAAGTGAAAGCCAGGTTTTCTGGCAGTCATTAAAAATGAACTGGCTTTCAAATTCAGACTGAATTTTTAAATTTCACACAGTTCTGCACCACCTTAGATGTTAAGTCAAAAGACAAAAAGTTAAGACAAAATGAACTTACGGGAGTAATTTGAGGCTGAGGAATTTTGGTTTAAGCCTTCCTTGCTCCTCTGTTGCCTCATAGAATTTAATGTTTGGAGTTCAGCTGCTCAGTTCCTCCGCTCAGACAGTCTTGACACCTGCTGGACCTATGGTATTCTTGTAGAGCCAAATACCGTACACTGGCTGGGAAGTGATGGCAGCAGATGAGAGGAGCCCGTCTGCAATCCAGCCTTGAATAGTTTGATGAGTTGCAGCTGTCACGTGGTACAGCAGCTGTCAGAATCAAACAGTCCCTTCCCGGCAGACCAGGCTAGTTCCTTCTTTAGTTTTCCCAAGACTGACCCAGCCCAGACATTTCTACTGCCTTCAAGGCCCTCTATATCAGTCTCCAACCGGTCGATAGCCATTAGGTGGCTATCTAGTGCATAGAATCATAGAATATTACAGCACAGAAGGAGGCCATTTGGTCCATCGTGCCTATGCCGGCTTTTTGGAAGAGCTACCCAAAGAGTCCCACTCCCTCACTCTTTCCCCATATCCCTGCAAATGTTTGATTTTCAAGT